CTGTCTCTCTCTGTCCCAAAAATAAATAAAAACGTTGAAAAAATCAACAAAAGATACTAACATTGCTGAATAAAAATGTGGAGGATCGCAATATATTCACACCGTGTACAAGTACAACCTCCAAACTACTTACGAATTACAGAGAGAAAAATGAATTAAAAAAACATTTTTTTTAATGTTTATTTATTGTTGAGAGACAGAGACAGAATGTGAGGGGTTAGGGGCAGAGAGAGAGGGAGACACAGAATCCGAAGCAGGCTCCAGGCTCCGAGCTGTCAGCACAGAGCCTGACGCGGGGCTCGAACCCACAAGCTGTGAGATCATGACCTGAGCCGAAGTCAGACGCTCAACCGAGTGAGCCACGCAGGCGCCCCAAGAAAAAAACAAATTTTTAACAACAGAGAAATCAGATGCTCAAACTTAACAGTACCAATAATGGGGCAATCTGACATCATGTGCCTCCCAATATAACAGAGGTAAATGACACATGAGGCACACAAATCATTTTTGCCAGAAATGTCTAAAGGCTCCCTCATGAGGTCACGAAAAGAAAAATCTGGAACTGGGACAGTCTGCAAGACAGTGTCATCAACAACAACTTCACCACTAACAAGGGTGGGAGACTGTCCTATTATCAAGAGACTAAAGAGACATAACAGCCAAATACAATACACAAAAACTGCCTGGATCAAAACAAGGGCAGCCAAGCATGCTGGGAACAATTAGGAGAATGTGAATAAAGGCTGTAGGGGATGATACTATTAATGTAATGCTAATTTTCTATGTGTGGTTAACTGTGGTTAGGTAAGAAAAATATTCTTAGGAGGTAATTGCTGACATAATTAGGGGTACAGTGTCATGATATCCGCTTGAATGGCTAACAACAACAAAAAGTATGGGGGAAAGGGAAGATAGAACTATAAAGGGGTAGCAGGAGGGAGAGCTTCCCAGCGACGAAATACTTCTGTATCTCTACTGCAGTGGTGATTACAGGAATCTACACACAGTGACGGAATTACACATACACATTGTACCAATGTCCATTTCCTGGTTTTGCTATTGTGCTGTAGTTACATAAAACCCAACCATTGGGAAAAACTGGGTGAAGAGTACACGGACCTCTCTAATATTTCTGCAACTTCCCATGTGCCTGTAATTATATCAAGACTTTTAAAACTTTTAAGTATATAGATATAGGTTTGTGTATGTTTACACGCATCAGAAAAAAAAAGAGGCAAAGGTGGCAACATGTTAACAAGTGATGAATGAAGATGAAGGATATCAAGTGTGCACAGTTCTATTTCAATTTGAAATATTTTTTTTTTTTTTTTTTTTTTAATTTTTTTTTTTTTCAACGTTTATTTATTTTAGATTGCAGAGAGAGACAGAGCATTTGATGAGTGAGAGAGAGAGAGGAGGACACATGGTTCTGAAACAGTGTTTCCAGGCTCTGGAGCCACCAGCCCAGAAAGCTCGATGCGACTGAACCATCGATTGGGCGGGAGATCGCGGGACCTGGTTGAAGTCGCCGATTGGCGCCACCTTGTTTCCATCAATTTGAAATATTTCAAATCGGGCTCGGGTGGCTAGGCGTCAGTTACATCCCGAATTTCGCCCAGGTCACTAACTTTGGTTTGTGAGTTCAGCCTGTGTCAGGTGTTAACAGCTCAGGCCTGGAGCCTGCCTCGATCTCCCTCTCTCTCTGCCCTTCTCCCACTCACGATCTGTCTCTCTGTCTCAAAAATAAACATTAGCGCCTGGGTGGCTCAGTCAGTTGAGTCGGCCCAAATTTCAGCTCAGGGTCACAATCTGTCCATATTCACTGAAGTCTGCCGTCAAGCTTCCTGGGCTGGGATGGCTCAGAGCCTGGAGCCTGCTTCTGATTCTGTGTCTCCCCTCTCTGCCCTCCCGCTCATGCTCTGTCTCTCTCTGTCTCAAAAATAAATTAAAAAAACGTTAAAAAAATAAACATTAAAAAAAAGAATGAAATATTTCAAATCTGAAAATTTTTCAAAAGCTTAGTATTTCCTATTTCAGATCTAGGATTTGTCCACAATTACTCAGTGAGGGAGTGACTAAAAGTCTAAGTTCAACCCCCAGACTGTTTCCACACCAGCACTTTGCTACTGGGCCTCCCTGCAAAGTTGCTACCAAGAACACATACAGCCCATACAAACAGAGCACCATACAAACACAGGCTTCTGACTTCACTTTTTGGTTGGTCACTGTAAAATGCATCCCAGCTAATGCATTAATAATATTACATACATCTGAGTGTTCTTCCAGGTAGCTTTCCTCTCAAAAGCAGGATCTACCTTTCTTCCAAGTTTGCCAGTGTTTCCTGGGAGGAAAACAAGGAAACGGATAATGCCTTTTAAATGCAAACATTAACTCCCATTGGTGAATCAAATTCTCTGACACTAGCCTAGACACTCAAGCTCCATTACGCTTAAAACCCTGGTGGAGACATGACATGGGGAGAGGAAAGCTGTTTTAGATTACCCAGACCTGTCTTGTTGGAAACCCCTTGAGAACAGAAGGAAGGGATACAGCCTGGGTTCCAGAAAATGCACAAAATTTCCATTTTCAGAGGGTTCATGGAAACCCAGTTGCCTGTCAACCCCTCAGCCACAGGCAGAACGCGGGCGTCTCCACCCCACGCGCAAAGGTATTGCTACTGAAGAGAGGAGGCAGGAGCAGCCTCCAGCGCCAACTCCCTCCCCTCCCCTGCGGGCTCAGAAAGAAGGCCACCCTGGGCTGTCAGTTGCCATGGAAACCTGGAAGGGCAGCTTCAGGTGAGATGGCTCCCTCTCCCTGGGTGCCTGCCGACGGGAGGTGGTGGCCACAAAGGGTGGATAGGGGGTGCATATCACAGTGTTCTCAGTTCCCTGAATCCCTTCCTCGCCTGGTCAGCTTTGATGTTTCCTCTAAAACATCACAGCTATGCTCATCAAAAACTCCCATCCAACGGATCTCCCTATCTCAAAAGGACATGTGCCTCTCCATCCCTTCCAAAGGCTGGGGACTGATGACTGTGTTCCTCCTCACTTCGCTCTCTACGCCATCCCCCCCAAGCTACTGGCAAGCCTGAAAACTGGTCTCCATGCTCTGGCAGTGACACGCCTGACCTCCTCCCTACCACTCCCTTTCAAAGAACACGGACCTGCCGCCTCACCCACCCAGCAAAGGCCAAGGACACAACCGCTCCCAACCCCAAAGCTCACAGAAACCTTTCTCGAGCTCCCACACTGAAGCCCCCCATCCTCAGGTGCCTTCCCGCCTCCACGCCCCCGCCGGTCCCGGCCCCCTCCCCCTCTCTGCTCCTTGCCCCGCCCCCCGGCCCCAGCTCCCGACTCTCGAGCCGCGCAGCAGAGAAGCTGAGGCACCGGCGGGCCGCAGAACGCGCAGCCGGCCTCAGGCCGCCGGGCTCCCGGGCGCCGCGTTGCGCCCGGGGAGTAACGGCCTGGAGCGATCGGGCGGGGCCCTGGAGGCGGCGGCAGGCGCGGGGCCCCCACCGGGCGCCCCCGCTGTCGCTCTCTCACCGCCAGCTCCTGCTTCCGCTTCACGAGCTCCGCCAGCTCCCGCCGGGTGTCCGGGATCTGCGGCGGCGCCGCCTTGTTGTGCATCGCCATGTTGGGCTGAGGCGGGCGGCGGCGCCAGGCGGGGGGCGGTCCCTGCGCGCCGCCGCCCGCCAGGGGGCGCCCACGCCGCACTGCGCCTGCGCGCGCGGTTTCCGGAGCCGCACGGCGCGCCGCGTCGGGGGCCTCGGGTTCGCGCGCGCCCCGCCTGGATGAGACGGCGGTGGGCCTTGCTCTGGGACCTAGCCGCTCTTGACCCCCTCGGTGGCCGGCGGGGCGTCACAGACACCACAAATTCACTTTGTCCAAAACCAGACTCCTGGCAAGTCACCTCAGTGAATGACTTTCACTGTCCGCCGAACTGCCCAAGTGGAAAACGTGAATACCATCGTCGCTGTCCTCTCCCATGCAAAACCCTGAGTCCTGAGGACTCGCCGCCGGAAGAGCCAGCAGCTCACTTGCTTTGTCTGCCACCTCGCCCTCGTCCAGGCCCTGTGTTTGGCCCCATTATCCCCACAGCCTCCTGTTTCCACCCTTAGCTCTCTTTGATCCTTATCCACAGTGGTGCCCAGGGGATCAGCGTTGGGAAAGCAGGTGTGGTGTCACTCCCCAGGTTAGAATCTTTCAATGGCTTCCCGTTGCCCTTTAGAGAGACCAGTTTGTGTAGTGGTTAAGATCACAAGCCAAAGCCAGAACTACCTCGTTCAGAATCCTGCCTCTACCATTGATAAACTGTGCCATTTGGGGCAAGTAACTACATTTCGCTAGTCAAAATTCCTCATCTGTAAAATGGAGGTAATAATAGTACCTACCCAGTACCCTTGCCGGGAGAAGTAAATCCCTTCACGTAGGGGCTTGGCAAGTAACAACATTATGCAAATACTCGTTTTTATCGTTAATTCCAGTATCGTTAACTTTGTTTTCCTTTAGCCCTTGCTTACTTCACCAGCCTCCACTCTCCCCATTTTTCAAGGTTCTGCAATTTCACTATCATGAATGGGGTTTTTGGGGGGTGGGGGTGGGGGGAGTCTTTGGGTTTCTACAGTCTGTGTGGATTGGTGTCTTCCACTAGTTCTGGGAAATTCTCAGCTCGTTTTCTTCAGATATTCCTCTGCCTCATTTTCCTCTCCTTCTGGAACTCGGATTAAACCTAATAATCCTTTATTTTTGTTAACCCACTGTGTTTTTCCCAATCTTTTTTTTTCTGCTGCATTATGCATAATTTCTTTTGTGTGTTGATCTTGTAACCTGAAATCTTGCCAGACTCCCCTATTAATTCTAGGAGGGTTTTATTGTAGATTCCTTAGGATTTTTTACATAGACAATCATTTCATCAGCAAATAAGGGCTTTTATTTTTCCCTTCCCAATTTGTATGCCTTTTCTTTCTTTTTCTTGTCTTACTGTGCTAGGTAGGACTTCCAGTTCTAAGAGTGGTCATAGTGCACATCCTTGACTCATTCCCTATTTTAGGAGGAAAGTATTCAGTCTTTCACCATTAAGTATATTAGCTGTAGGATTTTTGTAGAAGCTCTTTATTAAATTGAGACAGTTCCCCCTCTACTCCTGGTTTACTGATAGTTTTATCACGAACGGGTATTGAATTTTGTCAAATGCTTTTTTCTACGTCCAATTGACATGATCATGATTTTTTTCCTCTAGCCTCTTGGGATAGTGGATTATATAGATTTATTTCTGTATGTTGAACCCGTCTTGCATACGTGGAATAAACCTCACTTGGCCATGTTGTATAGTTCTTTTTATGTATGCTGGATTCAATTTGCTAATAGAATATCCAGGATTTTTATGGCTAAATTTATGGGATAATAGTCTGTAGGGTTTTTTTTTTTTCTCTGCCTCTCTCTCTTCCTTTTTGGTATCTCCTATCTGGCTTCAATAGCAAAGTAATACTGTCCTCATTAAATGAGTTAAGAAGGTATTGCCTGATATTCTAATTTCTGGCAGAGATGGTATAGAATGGTGCTAATTCTTCTTAAAATTTGGTAGATGTCTTCAGTGAAACCATCACCATCTAGGCCTGGATTTTTCTTTGGAAACTTTTTAAATTATAAATTCAGTTTCTTAAATAGTTATAGGACTATTCAGATGTTCTATTTCTGAAATTTTTTTTTTAACGTTTATTTATTTTTGAGACAGAGAGAGACAGAGCATGAACGGGGGAGGGTCAGAGAGAGGGAGACACAGAATCTGAAACAGGCTCCAGGCTCTGAGCTGTCAGCACAGAGCCCGACGCAGGGCTTGAACTCACGGACCGCGAGATCATGACCTGAGCCGAAG